TCTGAACACGGTAATATTTGGCCAGTAGGTACCTTGCATGGTGTGATATAAGGTGTCCCCAAATAAATGACATTTACCCCCTTCCAAGGTCTCAGGGTGTCAAATATGTACAAACTTTCAAACTATTTTTCTGAATATTAATCAGTAAGTACCTTGGGGAGAGTACTATAGTTTTTTCTGCAGTATGTGATCTTGACCTATTCTCAACAACTTTTTCTAAAAAAAACACCGGAGGGACAGGGTGATGATATTCGGTCAGTAGGTTCCTTGAATGTAGTGCTATGAAGCTTCCTTAAATGAATGACCTTGGCCTACGTTGAAGGTCACATGGGTCAAACATCTTATAACTTTTAAACGACTTCTTCTGGATAACAAAGATATGTATGGTGTTGATATTTGGCTAGTATCATGCTGTGATGTGGTGATATAAACGTTCCTCAAATACATTACTTTGACGCACTTTCAAGGTCACATGAGTCAAATACATCAATACCTTTAAGCAACCCCTTCCTAAATACGACGAGTGCCATTAAATAAATGACCTTAACCTACTTGACCTCCAAGAGGATTTTACCTTGCATAAATCTCTAGGTGAGCGATACAGATCTTTTGGGCCTCTTGTTATATATACGAATTCATTTTATTTTGCCAACACCTCATTCAATAACAACGTAAGTAACGAGATCTTTTCTCGATTTTTGTGCATTTTATTTGCTCCATTTTATCGATTTCCTGTATATTTATTTTGCCTGACCTTCTAAATCTGTTTTGTTTTAGGTATACGTTAGATGTTGCCACATACCGGTTTCCTCTCCTGATGGAGTTCACACCTCACAGCTGCAATCGGTTTGCTACTCTATATGTTGTTCTATGTATCAGATTTTTTCTGGACACATACGTCGGTTTTGTTCTTGTTTACCAATTCTTACGGTGAAACAAATTAATTTTGCAGGTATAGGATGCAAGGGAAAGTAATGATAGCCATACCTTCTGTAAATCTCATAAACGTTACTTATCAATCTCGTTCAACGTTCAATCCCATTTGCTTAAATAAAGTATACAAAGTTTTGGGCGAAACGATAGAATTTGTTTTCCATAAAAACACCAGACTAACGATAGAATAAGTCGGTACTCAAACGTATATAAAACACCAGACTGTGGATAGAATAAGTCGGTACTCAAACGTATATAAAATAACAGACTAAGGACAGAATAAGTCAGAACTAAAACGTGTATAGAACACCAGACTGTTGAAAGAATAAGTCGAAGCTTTAACAAATAAAAGCACCAGAAAATGGACAGAATAAGTCAGATCTCAAACGTATATAAAACACCAGACTGATGGCAGAATAAATCGGTACTTAAACGTATATAAAACACCAGACTAAGGATAGAATAAGTCGGTACTCAAACGTATATAAAACACAAGACTGAGGGCAGAATAATTCGGTACTTAAACCTATATAAAACACCAGACTGAGGATAGAATAAGTCAATACTCAAACGTATATAAAACACCAGACTAAGGATAAAACAAGTCAGAACTCAGTCGTTTATAAAACATCAGACTTGGTATAGAATAAGTCAGAACTCAAACGTATATAAAACAACAGACTGAGGATATAATATATCAGAACTCAGACGTATATAAACACATGATTGAGGACAGAATAAGTCGGTACTCAAACGTATCCCAAAGGTTTAAGTAACACAAGCCTGGGGGCGGAATGCGTCGATAATCTAACGTATATAAAACACCAGACTGAGGACAAAATAAGTTATATCTCAAATGTATAAACACCAGACTGAGGACAGAATAAGCCAGATTTTAAACGTATATTAATAAACAACAGACTGGGGACAGGATAAGTCGGATCTTAAACGTATATAAGACACACGACAAAATATTGAATAAGTCGGCACTCAAACGTATATAAAACACCAGACTGGGGATAAAATAAGTCAGAACTAAAATGAATATAAAACACCAGACTGGGGATAGAATAAATCGGTATTCAAACGTATATAAACACGAGAAAAGGTATAGAATAAGTCCATACTCAATTGTGTATAAAACACCAGACTAAGGAAATAATAGGCCAGTACTCTAACATATAAAACTCAAGATTAAGAATAGAATAAGTCGTTACTGAAACGTATATAAAACACCAGACTAAGGATATAATAAGTCGGTACTCAAACGTATATAAAACACCAGACTGGGGGCAGAATAAGTCAGAACTAAAACGTATATAAAACACCAGACTAAGGATAGAATAAGTCGGTACACAACGTATATAAAACACCAGACTATGGATAGAATAATTCGGTACTCTGATTAATATAACACAGCAGACTGGGGTTTATATAAGTCAGTTCACAAACGTGTATAAAACACCAGACTAAGGATAGAATAAGTCGGTACTAAAACGTATATAAAACACCAGACTATGGATAGAATAAGTCGGTACACAAACATATATAAAACACCAGACTATGGATAGAATAAGTCGGTACTAAAACGTATATAAAACACCAGACTAAGGATAGAATAAGTCGGTACTAAAACGTATATAAAACACCAGACTATGGATAGAATAAGTCGGTACACAAACGTATATAAAACACCAGACCAAGGATAGAATAAGTCGGTACTAAAACGTATATAAAACACCAGACTATGGATAGAATAAATCGGTACTCTGATTAATATAACACAGCAGACTGAGGTTTAAATAAGGCAGTTCTCAAATGTGTATAAAATACTAGACTGAGGATAGAATAAGTCGGTACTCAAATGTATAGATCGACACTCAAATGCTAATTAATCACTAAACTTGTGTTGAAATAAAGCGCTTCTTAAGCATAGATATATATAAAACACCAAACTTTATATTTTGTATATTCGCTTTTATTATAACAACAAAAATATATTTACATAATGCATACATTTTAAGTTAAATTCAGATGAACAGGGACACCTATAATAACAATAAGGTCATTAACAGTAGTTGAGCGTAGATATACGGTATTACGGAAATCAATGCTTTACACTAGTACAATAAGTGAACAGTAAGATATCATCAAAGGCGACATTGTTTAGTGACAATAGAAAATCTGGTGTTAATGCTAATCACAATAAATAGTTAACCAATACTGATCCACAGTCTTGGTAATCAAACCAATAACATAACAAATCCTTCCATCTTGGAAATAACCTTTTGGTTTTCTTTCAAATGTATTTATGGGTTTTTATTGTGTTATTATAGTTGGTTGACATTTCGGTAATTAAGATAATAATTTACTCGTTACAATAATGTAATTCGATATGGTCAGTAATAAAGCACTATGGTTAGTTCGTGGATTGACGAACAGCACATCAATATAAAATCGGCCCCCAAGCTATGCAGAAAATATTGGTAAGGTAAAAACGGTCTTTGGTAATTTTGATCATACGTTATCGTACGTGTATTATACATGTAATCGATATCGCCAACATATGTTGCATAATCTTTGGGTGGTGCATTCAGTGTATATACGATGAATCCCGCGCTTTTTTATAAGCAATTACATACTGACCACGTGCATGTCGTTACATGTTCATTTAGCAAGACGTCAAAATTACATGAGTAAAGCAAATAAACACATCATTGGCGTACCGATGTTTTCAATTCGTGATATTTAATTGTGTTTTGCAAGTACTTTGTTGATAATTTATTAAAAATACGATGTCTAAATTAAAGCAACGAGCATGCACTCGCGTATTGAAACTATTTGGAATGGAATGTCTAGCACACATGACCTCTATAAAAAAAAACGCATTCGCAAAAATATACATTCACATTCTTATTATATTCTATCTCGCTGGTATATCGTTCCTCAAGAAAAAAAAGAGGAACTTTAAAATTGTTTAGTTCAAACGTCAAAAATGAAATAATTAATCAAGTCGTATACAATAAACGTGTCTGTAACAATCCCACGTGACCAAAATCTGTTTGACGGATTCCACATCTGGAGCAGATGATACCACAAGTGGCGAAGATAAAATTTAACAAGTACTAATTGTAATGTGGACCATTACAGATGTCCCCCAAACTGCCCCCCATAGTCGCAAAGATGCATCAGAAAAGGTTCGCAATGCCATAATACACTCACAATATACATACTAAATTTGAGTGACATGCAGAATTTCTGAATTGCGACCAATCATAAATGTCTGTGTGGTTGCTATGGCAACGATACCTATGCGATTGAATTTGCAGTCCCCTAATACTCCTATATACCAACTCTCATCAAAATCAAACAATATCTAAATTTCGACCAATCAGAAGCATCCGTGTGGTTGCTATAGTAACAAATTATATGTATTTTTATTCGCAGACCCCTTGTACCAATATATACCTTTTTTTTTAAATCGAACAATATCTATATTTCGACCAAACAGAGGCCAGGCATCGGCAGTCATTTTGTTTAATCACAAAACAAACACCGCAGTTGTATTCGTATTGTCATAATACACCTATGCACCAAATTTCATCGAAATCGGACAGTATTTAAAGTATGACCAATCAGAGGAAAACGGCGGCCATTTAGTTGAAATGTGAAATCTTAGCTACGGAAGTGATCATTGTCCTATGATACACCTACATACTAAATTTGATCAAAATTGGACAATATTTAAATTTCGACCAATCAGGGGCCAGGAAATGGGGGCCGAGTGATCAAACTTGATCAAAATAACACAATATTTACATTTCTACCAATCAGAGGACATGAAATGGAGGCCGAGTGATCGTTGTCCCATGATTCACCTACATACCAAATGTTATCGAAATCGGACATTATTTAAATTTCGACTAATCAGATGTCAGGAAATGGCGGCCATTTTGTTTAATCACAAAACATACAACTGCGGTGTTTGTTTGTTTAATCACAAAACAAACACCGCAGTTGTATTCGTAGTGCCATATATACTAGACCTATGCACCAAATTTCGGGGGGGGGGGGGGGGGGGGGGGGGGAACGGCAGCCATTTTGTTGAAATGTGAAATCTAAGCTACCGAAGTGATCATTGACCTATGATACACCTACATACTAAATTCGATCAAAATTGGGCAATATATTAAATTTCGACCAATGATAACTATGCTGGACAGAAATGAATAAATCGAAATTGATATCGATACCCTTGTTGACTTCACTTGGATAACATTATCCCAACAATAATGTCAAGATACCCTTATCAATAAGAAATGAAGACCAAAATAATAGAATTTGTGACGATTCTCAAAGGTGATGTCTCTTTTCTCATCACAGCTCTGTCAACGGCACACCTTCCTGTTAAGGAAAGAAACAACTAATAAGGGAATGAAGAGCTGAACTCCTAGTGACAGAAATAACTTGAGGTAAGCATAAATGTTTTACCATCATCCCCCACCTCTTACACAAGTTATTTTGGTCTTTATTCCTGCAGGTCTTTGACACTAAACATTGCTTCTGTTTTTGGAATTAATATATGAATGTGACTTTACTTTGTTTACTTACTGATCTGTTTCTGGAACCAAATATAAATCTAATTAAAATTAGATTTCAAAATGTACCTTATAATATGTATTTGTTAATGTAAGATAATTATGTTTCTAAAAGTTAAACGGATATGTTCTTCATCAGAATCGTTAGAAATTAATAAGGTAAATTATATTTCAACGTGTTGATCAGTCCTGCATACATCAGGGACATAAACTTATAATTGTAATAATATTATGTTTACACTTACAGCACTTCGGTAGGTACGGGTCCCCTCATACTCTGCCATCACAGAAAGGCGTCTCATCTGAACAGCCTCATCCTCATCCTCCACATACGATTTATTGTCCACACCACCGGAACGGTGATCCAAACCTTAACATTTCAGAACATTTTATTAAGGTTTTGTTTATTTCTATCACGTCAATAAACACAGCTTCACTATTCCTATATATTCCTATTTTTTTCCGTTGGAAAGTCTTGCTTTAAAAAAATCTTAGCTGAAAGACATTTTCATTCATTTCAGCGATGCTTTTCAATGGAAAATCTTAGTTAATAAATATGCGAAAAATAAGGAACGTTCATGAAACTGGGGCCGATACCTTGTATTACTGTATTATCAGTTTTAGATGCAGACGATGTTTCACACGGTCATCAACTTTGTTCCTGAATGAGAGTATACCTTTGTTGTTGTTGGTTCAACAGCTCTCTAAGCGAACAATACACATTCTGTATACACTTTTAGACAATTCTTCTCACCGATGAACATAATATTTTTCATATTTACATAAAACAATAACATTGTATTTTTTGGTGTATTTTTTTATAATTTAGATAACATTTATAAGTACACAAATTATGACTTTGTCATCAAATTACGAAAATGTGACATACATCATGGCAAATACGCCACTATAAGCTACACGTATATATATAAAGCGCCGGTTATGTACACTTACCTGGATCTATTGCTATATCCAGCTGGCGTATTGCTATTTTACTTTCGGTAGATAAAGCACTATCACTTCTTGACCGCTGAACTTTTTTTCTCTTTTGAAAGTCATCCACAAGGTAAGCACTATCTGAACTATCATAGGCGGAATTCCTTGCATCAAGGGAACAACTGTCACCATGGGGACCAGCCCCTACGACCACACGCGACTCTTTGACGTCGTGCGGAGGCGAGTCTATAACGTCACTAGTATCTTCCGACGCTGAAGCTTGTGATGGAAGATGATTATCCACTTTGACCTCACCGGCTCCATCTGTCTTGTTGACCTCGTCAGCTCCCTGGTAAGTAGTATGTATGATAGTGGTGTAACCTCCTGGGTTTAGGTCGGTGTTATGTTGTGATACGTCACCGTTCACCTTTGGTCGCTTTATTGGTTTTGCGTACAAGTTCTCGATATTTTTTGTGCTCGATTTCTCTGTTCCGTCCGAAACATGACCGTTACAGAATTCACTACTCCCTGTAATAAAAATGGATGTACATTTCAGGCTGTAAATCTGCCAAGCGGTGCCATTTCTTTGATTTCAATCTATTTCTATTTTAAATCATATTGATGTTCAACGTAACACTCCAGACATCTAATTTCTGATGGAGCTACACAATATATTATTGCATGTTTTTATATTTAATCGTGCAGTGTTGTTTGAACCAATTTTACAAATAATTACCTCTATCAGTAGTGGATATTTTGACTTTCGTTTCCTTCAGCTGGTTTTGTAGGAAATCAATTTCTCTCTGGAAAAGGGAAAGAGTTGGAAAGATTCGCCATATTTTATCAGTGAATTACGAATTAAGAGATAAATATCCACCAAACAGAAATAAACTGTATTGTGTTTTCATTTGCATGTAGATCAAATATCCTATTAGAGTGGGTCCCGGCACTTGTAAGCGACTTAGTTAGCATGCACCCTCGATACTGCAGGGGATACGCGCGCTTTCAGTTTCTGCACCCCTGTAAATTGTTATATCAGAATCGAAGGCTCAATGTGCGCCATCTTGTGGATGAGAAAAGAAGACTAGTTTGATCCAAGTATCATGTACATATAAAGATGTGGCGGTCGCATAGCGGTAAAATTGACTGGCTTTAAAGTCGGGTTTCGCTTCTATGAAATGTTAAAAGGACATGTATCACTTTAGAAATTGGTCAGGTATTATTTGTCACCTGAGACCCATCAAATAGCTTGCCGCGTGCCTTCAAATGAGCGTAAATATTGAAGTATCGAGGATGGTTGACTTGCAGACTTATTGAAACTCACTTCCATTCAACATGCCAAGCATGTGACACAATGAGGTCATTTAGGGGTCATTAACAATTTAAATTGGTAATGTGGTCGGAAAGTGGTAGGGTGAGAGAGAAGAAGCAGACAAATATATCAATCATTTTCATATTGTTATTTGTTATTTGTTCCTTTGTGAATAACTTACTGAAACACGTTATTATAAAATATCAATAAAGTTAAGGAAACAGCTGGAATGAACTTGCTTGTGGTCTCCAACATGAGGTCATACCACGGAATTAGATCAGATCCCAAGTTCGTGGTATTACCGGTAAAAATATCATATCGTGGATCCTACTTACTTTGTTTATAGAGGCTAGCAACGATTGAATAAATTTAAATCATAAGTAAATTAATTATGTACATACAAATGTACTTGTAGTGTAATTGTATGGGGTTTTGTGCATTTATTTGCTTATTATTCTTATTTATTCCATATTTAGCGTTGCTAGTCCTTGTATTTACTGCTAGTCTATAGTGCTTGAAGGGAGCACGCCACAGAAGCTTGAAGCTTCACTGTGGTTGAGACAGCTGTAAATATAGCCGACTATAAATACCATCCGAGTTTTGTAGGTTTATATATAGTGACATTGCTATGTAATGGTAAGTTTGAAATTCATGGGTCCGCTCTCAATACACAACACCTTCCTTACAACCTCTGTACAGACAAGGTACCGTCCTCGATATCCATGCAGGGGTTTCGCTCACTTTGGCTCTCTGCACTCCTGGAATTAGTCCGCTAAAACTGACCATAATCGCAGGCTCAAAAATTCTGATCGATCAGAATTTTTGAGCCTGCGATTATGGTCAATTTTAGCGGACTACCCTGGAATATGTCATAGCAAAATTGAACGCACGAAGATAGCTGTTTGATTGGTCTCGGATAAAAAAAAAAAACCTGACCAATCGCTACGCTGATACATGTCCTTTGGAGATTACAAAGGAGTGACACTCGACTTCAAAGTCTGTCATTTTTTACCGTTACGCGCCCGCGAGATTCTTTTCATGTACATCAAAGTAACGAGGTGGTACAACACTGAGCCTTCAATTTTCCTATGGCATATTCCAGGGGTGCAGGGAGCGAAAGTGAGCGAAACCCCCGGATATCGAGGATGCCAAGGTACTAGTCTCGTCTGTCAATATACCCATTATATATTGTGGGTATATTGAACCTGTGCTTCGTACAGAAGATGTATCGGGAGCCAAATCATGGATTTCCAAGACGGTGATTGACACTAGCATATTGCGCCTTGGTTTTTTTCAGAAAATAACATTTCAATGTTTTAGGAAGCTATATACCGCTAGGCCTTTCTGCCTTCTAGGGCTTGCTTCAGGTTGATTGAATATATGTATAGAAACGCTTTCCAGCAAAAAGACAAGCAAGCCTCCATTAAGATAACTACCTGTTGCTTGTCTACTTTTTCGCGCAGCTCGGCCCCTTTTTCCTCTGCCTTCTTCTTGGCTTTCATCAAATAATGTAGTTCTATATCCACCTTGTCTGAAAATACTCTTTTCGAAACTGGAAGTAAAAACAACAATGCTATCTGGCGAAATTTGAGAACGAACAAATTTAGCCAAATCTTCATTTTTTATATATATTTTTTTAATTTTTATTTTATAAACTTTTTCCTCTGGTTCTAAAGCATGCAAAATATTAATTCTCCATTTCCCCGAATGTCATTATCTTACAGATGTACATCTTGGTCGCACCAAAACGGTGGATCAAACACATGATATAAAACTTATCTAGTGATTCCACAGATATTAATGTGAAAGGAATGAGAAATCAGATCCTCTTGTTAGAAAGTGTTTACCTGTACATGCACGAGGTACCCTACACAACCGGAAGAACACAATGTATGTGGCGGCCTCAACCGCCGGATGGTAACACAGAACGTCATCCCAGAACAAAGTAAACAATATCTCCATGGCAACCAGAACGACAACAATTAAGCTGTCACAAATCTGTAATTAATGTACATAAAAAAACATATATTATGTTATGAAATAATTCAAGTACAATTTATCTGACAACTATAACTTTTTTTAGAACACTTTGTTTTTAAGGTAGAATCACATTCCTTACCAACAAAACTTGGAGATGTAGGGTCGTTTGGTGCATGTACTTCACTATTATATGCATCATCTCCTTTGCCATCCCTGCAGGTCGTTGAGAAAACAATATACGTGTTCCTGCTGTTATCGACTGCATGTCGTAACAGGCACCTAATATGTTACCTTTTGTAGGCTTGTAGAGGTATAGCTAATGTAATATTATTGAGAGATGGCACTCTAAAGTGACCATGCGTGACCCCATCATCTATGGAAAGAATGTCGCCTGCTCAGCGCTTTAAGTAAGAAAGGTGTTTTGGCCGAGTTATCGCGTAAACAGAAATGCCAAAACGCGGAAAGTTGAAACTCGACAGAAAACTCCGTAGGATATGTTGAACATTATTGCTTCAAGCATTACCGTACAAAATTTGAAAGGAATTGATTAAAAAAACCTGCATTTACTACACAATGCCCTTATTTGGCAATAAATGGGGCATGATTCCACCAAAAATGAACGTAAACTTCTGAAATGCGAACTTATCCGGGCTATATTGGTATGCAATATGTGTACTAAGTTTGAGTTCAATCAACCCAAGGGAACTTGAATTATCGCACGGAAACCTTGTTCCGGACGACGCAACCGACGATGCCGACAAAATAATACCTATTCCGTCTTTGCGTATTGCAGAGTTATCTTTTCTTGTGAGCAGGTATTGATTGGTTTGTGTGAGAAAATGAGGTCGTTTTCTCAAAAAGTGATGACGTTACTCTCACAAACAAATGACGTAACAATCAATACCTGCTCACAAGAGCAGATAAATCTCCAATACGAAAAGACGGATTATGTCGCCTGGAGTTGAAGGCGACACAAAAACCAAACAAACCAAACGACCCAAAATAAACCGCTCATTTCCGACAAAATTCCACATCATATTTTACAATGATTCGATGACAATTCTAAAAGGAAACAAAAGATCGTAGGTACTTCGAACACAGTTATATCGATATTACTGCTTTATATATATATAAAAGGTGGAGAAATCAATGGAAACAATATGTTGGGTATCATACATGTCTTGTAAACGCCCACCTCTCGCATCCGTAATCGTTGTTAGTATGTGTTTTTGTTTAAAATAAAATATTGTTTATATAAAAGCTTATATAAGATCTGATATTTTGATATATAAACTTTCTGTATATCTCTCATCATAACAGGCTTCCCTTGTGTCTTCATATTGTCTAGTCCCTATGTTTAGTAGCTAACGATTGGAAAAGGACACTCACCTCAATTAAGTCTTTAAACACCTTTGACCTTCCAGACACAACTCGCAAAAGCACCTAAAAAGCAAAACGAGATTTTTTTTTTTTTATTGCATCATCCTTCTCTGCTGCCATTTATATACGTAAGTATGTTTGATTTTACAAAGATTATAATTAGGACGTACTTAATAGTTTCCGATATTGTCATTCATCAATAAAGGGCTTTTGTTGAGGTGAATACGCAGTTAAATGAACATGAGAAAGTGATATTAACCGAGACGAAGTTAGGGTTAATATCACTTAATTTCTATAATTTTTATATTAAATGCCAAATATATAGGATCTTACATGAGTTTCCATTTCATATGAGATTTACGAAACGAGTCTAAGAATTTTTCAATTTAGCGAGCCTCTGGCGAGCTAAAATGAAAAATTCGTGACGAGTTTCATAAATTTCATATGAAATGAAAACGAGTGCAAGATCCTATTTATCACATAATCAAGAACAATTTTCATGCAACCTTGAAATGTAAAACCCCGCCATTTTGACTCAAGTGCGTCAAGTCTGTGACATCACGTACTTGTCTTAGGCGTGACGCCACAATTGAAACAATTGAAACTTACAACCAATCACAGGACTGATAGGTAATATGACATGGGTTAATAGACACTGGATAACACAGTACATCATGTGATAAAATGTTTTGATTATCAAATAAAGTGGAACGTATGAAAATTGTACGAATGAAAATACTTCATTTGGCAGAGAACATTGTGACGTTACATTCAAATGACGTCATAAGGTGAAGATTGACCTGCTTCTTCAAAAAAATAGAATCACCGCGAATATGATCCCACCAATGAGGAGGTGGGGAAAATATAAGCATTTAATGGCAATTCAATTCACTTCCCTTAACATTTCATTTCATTTTGCACTTTTTCTTGACTTCCGAATTTATTTCAGAATATGCTACGGTTGAATTCTTACCCTCATTACAATGGAAAAAATGCTTGTGTGTAACTAAAAGCATGGTCAACAATATTTAATTGTTAATGAACCTCTGTAAACTGACTTCACAATGACCGTCATCTACAAATGTATTATCGTCTAGTCAACAGTTTCCGCGCGTTATGTATTTCCGCGCAGCCATTTTATCAAGCTATATCTCGTAACTACCTGACCTGCTGGACACAACACAAGGATATTTTAGACGTTTGGCCATCGTCTGTAAACTGACACAAAAATTACTTGAAGTTCGTTTGGAAAACATAAGAATTAATCACTGATTAAAAAACACGCATAAATATGCAGTTTTGCTTAATGCACTTTTTATCTTGCTCAAAATGAGCCCATACCTGAACAAACAGTGATATATTTCATTCATGAACCGGTCTTTTTTGTAGTCTGACAAACGTACGAAAATGTCGTATGCAAATGAAGCCACATCTCCTCGCCGATTTTTTTCCACCTCCGAAGAGCCAATGAGACATTCTTATATCGATAAACTGTAGTTTCAATGAAACGTAAACCTTGTAATGCAATGAACTTCCAATTTTCACCAATTTTAAACATAACAAAATGAGAAATAACATACCATCAACCAAAACCGATATAAGACTGCAGGAAAAAAAATAACAGATTCTATATTATAACTAAATAAATATAATAAATAAATTTAAAAAATTACATGAATTCGTTCAATTTGACATCTTGAAAAATCTATTAAAAATGTGAAATTTAAAAGAAGTTGTTTTGATAATTAATTTGACGATCAAAGGTATGTTTTTATTATTTCAAACGAAGCTTTTGTTCTTGCAGGTTACTGTAGAGAATTTCTTTTTAGTGTATTCGAGTTATCTCTTTTTGAACACTAAATCAAAGTAGACACACGGAAACATATGACGGCTACCTCCGACGGGAGAAATTTGATAAAAATTGTTTGTTCTGATTTTTTTTTAAATACATTTTTATGTTGCTAGTTTTTTGTTTCCATTAGTAGGTTGTGTACATGTCTTTGACAGTCATCCGTAATTTCAACAGTTTTCTGCCGATATGAGTACGAAATCGCGGATGCTTCTTAAGTGCGTGGAAACCGGTAACCCGAGGATATATAATAATACACTTCAGGACCTACACGTCGAGATTTTCATATAATTTGAAATCTTAGTAAGAGTTAACTCCCCTCGTGCATATGCTAAATGATAATAGTATCGGCCAACTTGTCATTAGAAAATCAGTGGAGCGTCACCAGACAATAACTACCAAAGGACTCTTGGCTGGTCATTACACGCCTGAATGATTTACTGATTGTGATAAGAACGTAAGTGTTGATAGCTGACCAGGACGATATAATGACCATTCATTTGGGAGATGACCACCACAGATACCATTAACCACACATCCGGTGGCTAGAGCATTGTCACCTCTCTATCACGGAATGTTATCCGGCCTAGGTAACATACATGTGCAAAAATGCGGAGGACTACTTCAGCCGATACCGCCATTGATGTAAACATCTTGTTAACAAGACGCATTCGTGTCACCTTACTTTTGATGGACATTGCTATTCACTATTTTTGACACGATTGACCTTCATCAAGAAATTGTTACTCCGGTCTCTGTGATAAGGAGCAGAGACTGGCGTCAAGACCTGGGGCGGATCTAGATTCTAATTTGAGACCCTCCCTGGAGATTTCGACTCCATAGGAAACTGGGGTTAACCCCCTCCTCTCCCTTAGCAGCTGAAATTTTAAGCATGAAATACGCTGGATATACTACGACACTTGCCCGAGAAAAAATAATCTGAACAAAAGACCCCTCTGATAACGACACTTACCTCAACAAAAGACCCCTGAGATAACGACACTTACCTCAACAAAAGACCCCTGAGATAACGACACTTACCTCAACAAAAGACCCCTGAGATAACGTCTCTTACCTCAGCAAAAGACCCCTCAGATAACGACACTTACCTCAGCAAAAGACCCCTCAGATAGCGACACTTACCTCAGCAAAAGACCCCTTAGATAACGTCACTTACCTCAACAAAAGACCCCTCAGATAGCGACACTTACCTCAGCAAAAGATCCCTCAGATAACGTCACTTACCTCAGCAAAAGATCCCTCAGATAACGTCTCTTACCTCAGCAAAAGACCCCTCAGATAGCGACACTTACCTCAACAAAAGACCCCTCAGATAACGACACTTACCTCAGCAAAAGACTCCTCAGATAACGTCTCTTACCTCAACAATAGACCCCTCAGATAGCGACACTTACCTCAGCAAAACACCTCTCAGATAGCGACACTTACCTCAGCAAAACACCCCTCAGATAACCACACTTACCTTAAAAAATACCCCTCAGATAACGTCACTTACCTAATTAAAAGACCCCTCAGATAACGACACTTACCTCAGCAAAAGACCCGTCAGATAACGTCACTTACCTTAATAAAAGACCTCTCAGATAAAGACACTTATCTCAACAAAAGACCCCTCAGATAACGTCACTTACCTCAACAAAAGACCTCTCAGATAAAGACACTTACCTCAACAAAAGACCCCTCAGACAACGTCTCTTACTTGTTTCTCCACAAAAGTCCCTTACCTCAACAATAAACACCCCTGCGATAACGACACTGGCATAATGAGCCACACAGTAAGTGATTTCTATTGGTTCCACCATATTGACGCACCGCCTGCAAATACTGCCCCCAGGGTCGGGGTCCTGGGTAGGCGTGGCATTGACAGGGGTGCTGGCATTTTGGGTGGAAGTAATGGGTGGGTCTGTTGGCGCACCCCCGGGCACTGCAAAACAATAGTAGTTTAGCAAAATATATTTAGGTTATAAGAGGAAACGTATACTAATACATTATTAAATGCATATGTGAATAAATGAAATTACAAACTCATTATGTGGAATGTTACAGAAACCTTCAAGTTTAAAAGTTACAAATGTGAAGTTTGCAATTATTTGACCTTTGACCTTAAGGTCAAGGTCATAGCGATATAATGGATCGTTTATACTGCTAGAAAAGTAACGAACTAGACTAAATGTTACTGAAAAGTTTACACTTGTTTGACCTCTGACCTTGAGGTCAACGTTAAAGTGACCTAAGGATTGATGAAGGTACATGTATCTTTATCGGTTTAAAAGTTACGACCCGACCCGGATTAGGTGATACTGCAAATGGTGCACTTATTTGACCTTTGACCTTGAGGTCAATGTCACAGTGATCTATGAGAGTAGTTAGAAGTTTGATTCAATATGAACCATAGACAAGACTGTTATAGAGAAAAATCCCGATAAAGTATACTTAGGTTTTCTGATATTAACACACTCATTCCCGTCACTTTTGGGAATAAGACGTTAAAATCGTTTTTATTTGTTCCTTTAACTGCTTGGTCAGTTTTCTTTGACCCTACCAGTCATCCAAGCGGTCAGATGGATTGATACACCACATATGACCATCCGGATCTAATGGAGTCAGTAAGTGGTCATTTCGCTTTCCGATAAGTATGATTCAGCCGATGTCTATGTGACCGAGTTTTCTCCAGGGCAAACTGTCAATAATTTACTGATTGATTCACAATGGTCTGTCCGCGAGGGCGTTCTGTTGTACAGTGTAAGGGCATTGTATGTAGATTATTTAAAAGTAGTCCGGCTCTCCATGACGTAGGAACGACGTCCACTGCATTACGTACGCGACAGCTGGTCTTGTGTTAGCATGTACATGAAACAGATATTTAAAATGCAATCATGCGTACATGGAATTTGATTTCGATATGTAATATTTTGACCGATATTTTTGAACGCATATTTGATAATATCTGTTTAAAACACATTTATTTAATGAAAATAATTATGTGTACCTCTAGTTAAAGCCGTGCGTATACGTAGTAAGTATTTGATATCTGGGGCAGATTTATCATGAAGTGCGGGGTGAGTGTGAGCAGAGGTGAAAATATGGTTCCGTGGGTGGTGTGCTAGTTTAAAAATTATACAGAATCATTTGTCCTGTAGCTGTGAAACTCTCGACATTCAGTGTTTGCAAAGAAATATGAAATACTGGTATAAATGTGTGTAGCGATCGATTTTCGTAATTAACCATTTGTAATGCAGGTATTTGAAGTGGTGTACATCAAGGCGATCTGTTAGCTCGTCATTTTTTTCGGATTCAGAAACGGCAATTTAATATCACTGTATCGCCAATAAATGCAAGCAGAGGATATCGGGCCAGGTAACTTTAGATTTAAAATTTAAAAAATCCAATCGAGTGGTATGAATTATACATTATATATATTTAATATATATAATATGTGATATGTGTGATTTAATGTATGATGAGTGTTATACTGTCTATCATCATAATTTTCACCGTATAATGACTGTAATAGTACCTATTACATCATTGTGTTTATAGTACTTTATGGTATGATGCGGGTACTATTATCATTATCTTATGTGTGTGTCTGTCCATGTGCATGTGTGTGTCACTATGTAAGGATGTGACCATGATTGTGAATGCATTTTCTTCTCTTTCAATAGTGTTGAATTGTACGTGTATTGTTCGTTATTTCTGTAACTCTTCATTTCTGGAGGAAATAAAGGAAATAATAATAATAATAATAATAATAATAATAACAATACATTATATATATCTAATATATATGATATCTGTGATCGAACCGAAATAGCTCGAGGGATTCTTCATGTGAACTGTGCAGAAATGAGTATCCCTTTGAGTATTTTGTCTGGATCAGTATGCATACAAGTTATACAGTAATATCCCTTAATAATGAGACGTATATTGATACATTATGTTATCAGAATGTCCTGATCGTACACGTTCTTTTCCTGGTAGTACTAACACCTCGTCTTACTTACAATTTATTCCATTGTTTTTATTACATAATAATCTATGTTAAAATTAAGCGTCACCGTGAACGAGTGTATTTTTGATATGTCAACCGGAACAGGCGTTGCATAAGAGATAATCTACACCCGATGCATCACAATAAGTCTTCAAATGTATACATTTATGCAAATAATAAACGCATAAATACCGCACATGTTATAATAATGGATCTTATGATCCCATTCTTTTTGGTCGTGTCTCCCTAGGTGCCATTGATTAGCACATTGTCCGGAGAACGTGAGACAGTTGAATATTTGGCTATCGTGTCCAATCGGTAACCGTCGGAACTTTCCGTAAACAAGAAAAGGAAAGTACCGACGGTTTCGGTGGCCAGATTATGACACAGAGCTCACCGTCATGTTAAACCCCAAACAGACCATAGACACTTGGCGTTCTAATAATACCTTAAGATTAGTGAAAACGCGGGAAGTTTATAAAACACCTCGTGTAGCTTATTTCCAGTTAATATTAAAACGCCAACTGCTCGTGAACAATTTCATCAACCGAACAACAAAACTGAAGGAGAAACACTTTAAGATTTTTAGTATATATACGGTAAACTGGGCGGTGTCACCCAAGTCTATGTAAACGTGTGGCGATGAACAGCATACCGAGGAATACCGATCACTGTTTATCAGATAACGACACGTAATATCTACTAACACCTGAACAGTTCTGACAAGTCATGGCTTCTCGGAAGTAGAAATTATACTATCAGTTTATATAAGTTAAAGAAGTTAAACAAGGTATTTGTCAATATTTCAGCGAGGTAAAAAAATAAAATATAAGTAAAACTTCAGCAAAGAACAAAACGCCATTTGTCGTACAACAAACAACAATTTACATACATGTCGATCATTGTGTAGATAAAATTAACGCTGGTTTATAATTCGCTGAAACGACGATTTATCGACATCGATAGCGTTCCTCCCTTCTCGTTCCTACCTTCTCGTATATATCATTGGGGGTGGCATTTTACCGAAAGTTGATATAAACCCCTAAAACGTGTACAATTACTCTGAACACCTTAGTTTAGGTCCAAATATATATGTAACAAATTTACACATGAAAAACGGATAATGCCAAGTGTCTGAGAAATAAATTAGCTTTGAGAATATCTTATTTTCCATGAAATCTGACATTAATCGTAACGATTTACATCGATTGTCCACCACGCTTCTGTCGAGAATGTGATAAATGTTTGCTAATGGATCAGACATTACTCGTAATGATTGTGCTAACCTGTGTAATTACGTACCCTGTAAAATATCGAGTCGGATGAGAAGCTCGGCTGTAATGGCAAGGCCGTCAACAACAACCAGGACAGCTATGATACACTCCATACATAGTCCACTGACAGTCCCGTACAGCCGGCTACAGGGGCTGAAAATATAACATAAACCTGTAATAACGGTCAACTCCAAACGTAACCTGTTATATAGCGGTCACCATTATACACTATTCACTGTACGGTCGTGTACAGACGCCTACAACAGATGTAAATATAGCATAAACCTGTCATAACGGTCACATCCAAACGTAAACCTGTGAAAGCGGTCACCATTATACACCGATCGATAATAGTCGTGTACAGAAGCCCATAACAGATGTAAATATAACGTAAACCTGTCATAACGGTCACATTCAAACGTAAACCTGTGATAGCGGTCACCATTATACACCGATCGCTAATAGTCGTGTACAGAGGCCCACAACAGATGTAAATATAGCATAAACCTGTCATGACGGTCACATGCAAACGTAAACCTGCAATAGCGGTCACCTATATACATTGTTTACTGGTGGTCATGTAAGTCAACAACAAGCAACAATTATATACAAACGTAATGGAAATATTTTTTAACGGTCACCCATATACCCATAAATTCACTGAAGTCTCGTATAGTCAGCAAAAACAGGTATAAGTATAACTTAAGCCTGTAATAACGGTCACCTATTCCATGTGTACCCTGACAGTCTCGTGTAGCCGGAGTAAACACTTGGAAATACAACGTAAACCTCTTGTAATAGATAACACCATTTTCCCAAGAGGTCGATGATTTGTGATAGAATTGATGTTCCTATTTTTATTTTTTTTCTAAACATTGGAAACATCAAAAATTCATATACATGCATGATTATCTTTCTTGATGAATATGTGGATCTGAAAACGTGATATTAACCTCGACTTTGCCTCGGTCTATATAACCACATATTCACCTCTTAAAAAAGTCCATAATTGATAAACAACGGTCAACCGGCTACACCAGCTGGAAATATATGTAAATTTGTTATATAACAGGAAATATACCTAATTAATCTAATATAGACTGTGTTGTAGGCGGAGGGAGAGGTATAGAGTCAGAGTGGTGGCCCACGTTGAGTAGGGGTTGGGTAGGAGTGTGTTTGTGGACTGGGCCGTTCTTGTTCACAATTCAGGACGGGTATCCTGATACACATGTATGTGACCTACATACATGCAAATGTATCTAGAATTAAAAAAGTCTATTATCATATGAACGTTCTTGGTATAGATTATATTCGTAGAAAAGGATACTGTATCTGTTTCGTAAAAAATAGGTTTTATCTCGCTGTTGAAAATCAAAGTTAACATTTAACTGATACGACAGGCGATACTACTAGATACGTATAATATTAAGCATGTCTATGCCAAGGACTATATATCGTAGTATTGATCGTCTGTGTCCAGGGCCTACATCATGTAGTACATCGTATGTACCCATGACCTATATCATGTAGTACATCGTGTGTACCCATGACCTATATCATGTAGTACATCGTGTGTACCCATGACCTATATCATGTTGTACATCGTATGTACACAGTGCCTCTATCATGTTGTACATCGTATGTACCCAGTGCCTATATCATGTAGTACATCGTATGTACCCAGGGCCTATATCATGTAGTACATCGTTTATAGTCACATGTACCCAGTGTCTATATCATGTAGTACATCGTATGTAGTCACATGTACCCAGGGCCTATATCATGAAGTGCATCGTATGTAACTAGGGCCTATATCATGTAGTACATCGTATGTAGTCACATGTACCCAGGGCCTATATCATGTAGTACATCGTATGTAGTCACATGTACCCAGGGCCTATATCATGTAGTACATCGTATGTACCCAGGGCCTATATCATGTAGTACATCGTATGTACCCAGGGCCTATATCATGTAGTACATCGTATGTACCCAGGGCCTATATCATGTAGTACATCGTATGTACCCAGGGCCTATATCATGTAGTACATCGTATGTACCCAGGGCCTATATCATGTAGTACATCGTATGTACCCAGGGCCTATATCATGTAGTACATCGTATGTACCCAGGGCCTATATCATGTAGTACATCGTATGTACCCAGGGCCTATATCATGTAGTACATCGTATGTACCCAGTGCCTATATCATGTAGTACATCGTATGTACCCAGGGCCTATATCATGTAGTACATCGTTTATAGTCACATGTACCCAGTGTCTATATCATGTAGTACATCGTATGTAGTCCCATGTACCCAGGGCCTATATCATGTAGTACATCGTATGTACCCAGGGCCTATATCATGTAGTACATCGTATGTACCCAGGGCCTATATCATGTAGTACATCGTATGTACCCAGGGCCTATATCATGTAGTACATCGTATGTACCCAGGGCCTATATCATGTAGTACATCGTATGTACCCAGGGCCTATATCATGTAGTACATCGTATGTACCCAGGGCCTATATCATGTAGTACATCGTATGTACCCAGGGCCTATATCATGTAGTACATCGTATGTACCCAGGGCCTATATCATGTAGTACATCGTTTGTACCCAGTGCCTATATCATGTAGTACATCGTATGTACCCAGGGCCTATATCATGTAGTACATCGTATGTACCCAGGGCCTATATCATGTAGTACATCGTATGTACCCAGGGCCTATATCATGTAGTACATCGTATGTACCCAGGGCCTATATCATGTAGTACATCGTATGTACCCAGGGCCTATATCATGTAGTACATCGTATGTACCCAGGGCCTATATCATGTAGTACATCGTATGTACCCAGTGCCTATATCATGTAGTACATCGTATGTACCCAGGGCCTATATCATGTAGTACATCGTATGTACCCAGTGCCTATATCATGTAGTACATCGTATGTACCCAGGGCCTATATCATGTAGTACATCGTATGTACCCAGTGCCTATATCATGTAGTACATCGTATGTACCCAGGGCCTATATCATGTAGTACATCGTATGTACCCAGTGCCTATATCATGTAGTACATCGTATGTACCCAGGGCCTATATCATGTAGTACATCGTTTATAGTCACATGTACCCAGTGTCTATATCATGTAGTACATCGTATGTAGTCACATGTACCCAGTGCCTATATCATGTAGTACATCGTATGTACCCAGGGCCTATATCATGTAGTACATCGTATGTACCCAGGGCCTATATCATGTAGTACATCGTTTGTACCCAGTGCCTATATCATGTAGTACATCGTATGTACCCAGTGCCTATATCATGTAGTACATCGTATGTACCCAGGGCCTATATCATGTAGTACATCGTATGTACCCAGGGCCTATATCATGTAGTACATCGTTTGTACCCAGTGCCTATATCATGTAGTACATCGTATGTACCCAGTGCCTATATCATGTAGTACATCGTATGTACCTAGGGCCTATATCATGTAGTACATCGTATGTACCCATGGCCTATATCATGTAGTACATCGTATGTACCCAGGGCCTATATCATGTAGTACATCGTTTGTACCCAGTGCCTATATCATGTAGTACATCGTATGTACCCAGTGCCTATATCATGTAGTACATCGTATGTACCTAGGGCCTATATCATGTAGTACATCGTATGTACCCATGGCCTATATCATGTAGTACATCGTATGTGCCCAGGGCCTATATCATGAAGTACATCGTTTGTACCCGGTGCCTATATCATGTAGTACATCGTATGTTCCCATGGCCTATATCATGTAGTACATCGTATGTACCCAGGGCCTATATCATGTAGTACGTCGTATGTACCCAGGGCCTATATCATGTAGTACATCGTTTGTACCCAGGGCCTATATCATGTAGTACATAGTATGTACCCAGGGCCTATATCATGTAGTACATCGTATGTACCCATGATCTATATCATGTAGTACATCGTATGTACCGAGTGCCTATATCATGTAGTACATCGTATGTACCCATTGCCTATATCATGTAGTACATCGTTTGTACCCAGTGCCTATATCATATAGTACATCGTATGTACCCATGGCCTATAGCATGTAGTACATCGTATGTACCCAGTGCCTATATCATGTAGTACATCGTATGTAGTCCCATGTACCCAGGGCCTATATCTTGTAGTACATCGTATGTACCCAGTGCCTATATCATGTAGTCCATCGTTTGTACCCAGTGCCTATATCATGTAGTACATCGTGTGTACCCAGGGCATATATCATGTAGTACATCGTATGTACTTAGGGCCTATATCATGTAGTGCATCGTATGTAGTCACATGTACCCAGGGCCTATATCATGTAGTACATCGTATGTACTTAGGGCCTATATCATGTAGTACATCGTATGTAGTCACATGTACCAAAGGCCTATATCATGTAGTACATCGTATGTACCCATGTCCTATATCATGTAGTACATCGTATGTACCCAGTGCCTATATCATGTAGTACATCGTATGTATCCAGGGCCTATATCATTTAGTCCATCGTATGTGGTCACATGTTCCCAGTGCCTACATCATGTAGTACATCGTATGTACCTAGGGCCAATATCATGTAGTACATCGTATGTACCCATGTCCTATATCATGTAGTACATCGTATGTACCCAGTACTTAGGGCCTATATCATGTAGTACATCGTATGAAGTCACATGTACCCAGGGCCCATATCATGTAGTACATCGTTTGTACCCAGTGCCTATATCATGTAGTACATCGTATGTATCCAGGGCCTATATCATTTAGTACATCGTATGTGGTCACATGTTCCCAGTGCCTATATCATGTAGTACATGGTCTGTGTCCAGGGCCTATATCATGTAGTACATGGTCTGTGTCCAGGGCCTATATATTGTAGTACATGGTCTGTGTCCAGGGCCTATATATTGTAGTACATGGTCTGTGTCCAGGGCCTATAT